TTTCTTTCTTTCTTTCTTTCTTTCTTTCTTTCTTTCTTTCTTTCTTTCTTTCTTTCTTTCATTTTTATCCCATTATTATTATTATTATTATTATTATTGCAAAAAACTCAAGATGGTAAACAGATCCAACCACTTTCCTCCTCCTATTTTCCCCACAAAGCTGTAAGATGGGTTGCACTCTTAGAAAGTGACCGGCCCAAAATCATCCAGTGGGCTTTCATGGCTAAATCAGGAATTATGCTCACAGTCTTCTACTTTCTAACCAGGTGCCTTAAATAGTAGATTAAACTGGCTCTCTAAACTACCTATGTTAAGTTTGGTTAACAGCATTTCTTTTCTTTTCTTTTTTTTTGTTTAAAAATAAAAGTATGGATAGAAGAAATCATAGCGCATGGGCTGGAGTGGAAACCAGAACTGTTCCTGTTGGGAATGATCAAAGGATTATACCTCTAAAGTAAGATATCTGACCATCCACTTATTAACAGCCTGAAGATGATGAATGAGACTTCATCAAAACATTGCCTAGATACTTCCAATCTTACGCAGGAGAAAAACCGAACAACCAAATTATATATATGCTCATTTTTCTTCCCAAACACTCTGTACAGTCTTATATATATATATATAAGACTTTGCTCATTTTTCTTCCCAAACACTCTGTACAGTAGGATGGACTGAGAAAGTATAGCTGGCCCAAGGTCACTGAGTTATTGATTTGCTTGAATTCTCACCTGTGATTATCACTCTTGTGCTGTGCATGGGTAGTATTCCAGATTCCTGACTTGTTGCAATACAGGTATAAGTACCAGATACATTCCTTTGCGCATTGTTGATAATCAGCTTACAGAAGTGTGGGGTGCACTTTTGGTCTGTTTTCCAGTTCTTGTCATCAATCTTGCGCAAGTTTTTATTTTGTCCTTCCTTGTACCAGGTCAGGGACCATGACAAAGCCTCAGCTGAAATTTCACAGCTGATATTTACCATGCCTCCTAAAGGGACCTCAATCGTTTTTACTTCATTACTCTGTGAATCAGCTGCTAGAGCAAGAAAACAAAGAAATCTTTTATTGCAAAATGAATCAGAGATAAAATATGAATGTGTCCCTTTTCTCTGTATATGATTTTTTTCACTCATTGGTTCAATTCATTCATTCTTTTATTGCAAAATGAATCAGAGAGAAAATATGAATGTGTCCCTTTTCTCTGTATATGATTTTTTTCACTCATTGGTTCAATTCATTCATTCTTGCAGTCTACCTTAAGATGGATTTCCTCCTCTACAATAAATTCCAAAAGCATCATCGTGGCTGAATGGAGTAATTAGCATACTGGCACAGTCTTCACAGCAAACTAATAGCACTATACACTATCAGTGTAGAAGCCTCACAATCCATCAATCAATAAACAAATAAACAATGCATGCTATGTAATAAGTTAAAATTTGGAAATTTCTTGAGTTGCATTTCTGAAGGTATTATGCAAATAGAAATAAAATACAGAAACTGTACAACTCAAGTGTTAAACTATTTCGTGTAGAAAACATGGATTTCTGTAGAATTTATTTAAAGCCAGTATGGGTGTCAGAAAATAGCTTTAAACATTGCCTGCAAAATACTCCTCCATTTGTTTTGCAAATTAGTGCTCTTGTGTTTCTAATGTTATTATAAGAACAATAATTGGTTAGCTATAAGCTGTGCTCTGCGGATAAGAAATATTGAAAGCTGACAGATATGATTTGCTTATTTTTAATGATGTGCTATAAATGATCATTGAGATAACCTGTCTGAAGACACATTCTGACAATCATAGACACAATTTAATAATCTCTCCCTCCTGATGTTGTGTGTGTATTTAAATGTAAATGAAGTTTGCACTGCACACAGGTGAGAGAAATAAACTAGTGATTAATGGAGAAAAAACTTCACCTGGAAGAACCCTTTCCTTGATGATAATCAAGCACTAAATTCTGAATCTGAATAAGACTATGTTTTGAAAATACTTACCACGCAAGACAAGTAGAAGAATCGCAGCACAATGGGAAAACATCTTCAGTTTCCAGCCTCTACAGTTAATTTTCAATAGTTTGATTTAAACTCTGTCCATGCACAGCAACACCTTTAGAGTTCTTGTCACTCCTTAGAGAAAGAGGTGGAAGATTAAGAGGGTCAAGGAAAATATCTTCAGTTGGGAAAACTTTAGATCTGCCTTTGATAGCTAATTTCTCCCTTTTTTAAAGGAAAGCAGGTAGGGTTTTAGGAAGACAAGTTGCTAAGCAATGAAGACATCCAAGCCCCTCACCACACACACTAATTCTACTGAGTACTGCAATATTATTCTTCCCAAATAATGGTATAACAGTACTTAAAATCAGCTTATAAGGCAAAGAAGCCAACAAGCAAGAACTGTGACCTCCAAACTAACCTAGTGAATGAAAATACCCCGCAATCCTGTTCTAAAGATGTGAAGAACAAAGTCAAACAGGAGGTGGTGAAATACAGACAGCGGAATCCACATCACTGTGTCAACCAAAAAGGTGAATCACATGCCACCAATGTTTTTTTGATGGCTTGCTATCAACACTGTTACCACCCACCTGGTACACAAATTGCTAGCCCATCTTTGAATGCTGATTTTAGCAATGCAGTTCACCAGATGCCTTATCTTGTTCTCCATTGGTAAGTCCAATCTGTTCTATCAGAAATCTCTTAGACAAGCACTCTTGGATCTGATTCATAGAAGAGATTTTCTACAAGTGGCAGGAAGGGGAAAAAACTGTGGTAGTTTGATAACATTTTAACAGTTTTCATCCATGAAATCAAATAAAATTAACTTGATAGTCTTTGAAGTGCCACAGAAGCTTTTGTAGTTGTCTAACTTGATTTCTTAAAGAGTTTTCTCCATAACTCTGATTCTGTTGTTTTATTCTAGTGAAGATGTGAGGGATAGTGCCTACATAGAGGGAGGTGATGTGATGGATTACAGTGAAGTAGCTTCCTAAGAAGGAAGGATCCCATTCTAAGGAGGGAGTGAAACAAAAGGCAACCCAGACCTGGTTAGAATACAAGAGAAAAGAATTAGGATAGCGACTCCCTAGAATTTCCCAGGACTTATCTGTTGGGGTAAGAGTAGTAAATCTTTAATCTGGCAAGATTCTGCCTGTTGGATGTAAGCCAATAAAGACCTAGTCCCTATGTCATTCTTAGACTGGACCTGGCAGAACCTGGACCTGGATTCTAACAAAGGAATAATGCTGCCTTTTAAATTACCTACTTTATCCCATTATAGTATATATTTCATCTAATGGGAAACAGGCCTCATAACCTGTGGCCCAAGGTCATCTGGAGAGATCTGTATGTAACTGAGGTGAATGTGATTTTTGACTTCCCTGACTCTGATCTGACATCGTTAAAATTAGAATCCCAATATATTATTCTTATTTTGTCTTTGCAGTATACAAAGCTCAAAATGATCAGTTCCTGTTTGTGGACATTGGGGAAAAAGCAACAGTTGTGTACAATTCTTCAAAAAACATTACCAACATGCATTGGTATAAAAGAGAAGAGACCAAACTAACGCTTTTAACAAAAAGTTGTGGGTTTGAAGATAGCAATGGGAAATTTAAGTGCAAGACTGAAGCACAGGTGCTGATACTAGAAATTTTCAATACAAAAGTGGAGGATACTGGCTTATACCTGTGTATGGACAAATCCCAAAGTTTCTATTCCTTAGACTTTGTCAGTTCATTCTCTTTGATTGTGGGAGGTAAGTTGTCATTGTCAGCCATTCTGTCATGTCTGACCCTTGGCCGCTCTATGGATCAGCATCTCCACGCCCCTCTGTCTTGCATTGCCTCCTTCAGGTCCGTCATGGTCATCCCAGTGTCATCTTTTATAGTGTCCAGTTGCGGGTACTAGGGTGGCCCCTTCTCCTTTTACTGCTGATCACTCCCAGCATAACTGACTTTTTGAATGAGTCAGTTCTCATGACATGTCCACGGCCCATTTGGTGATCTTGGCTTCAAGTGGTATTTTTGGTGAGGTTCAGTGTAGGACTTAGTTTGTTTGTTATTTTTGCAGTCCATGGGATATGTAATAGTCACTTCCAACACTCTAGTTCAAAGGCATCCACCTAGCTGCCTTTTTTTAGAGTCCAGGTTTTGCAGTAAGTAGGAGGTAAATAATGGATTTGAAATAGAAATACAGATTAGCCTAGTAGGGCTAAGATTCTGTTTAGTGAATCCACTGAAAGCAGTTGTCCATTTAATAATTAATTACAAAGGGTCATTTGTTTATTCAGTTGTCATCCCTTCCTCCTCCTCCTCCCCCTCCGCTTCATCCTCCTCAGACAGTTATACCTCAAGCAGCTGGATGATGATTTTACAACCTTCTGCACAAGACCAGGCAATACAGAGTGGCAGCCGGCTGGCTTGTGTGGTTCACGGAGTTTCCAATTGGATCCAGATATCCTGGGATGCCTCTCATGTTCTCCAAGGTGGACAGACTCTTTTAATGAAAAACCACAGTGGTTCCTTAACATTTGTCAGCATCCTTTACATCCCTGAAAACTCTTCCATCTGTGGGGAGGAATTTATCTGCAAAGCCAAATTCAATTCATCGGGCATGTCCATGAATCTGAGCACCACACTGTACGCAGGTAAATTATTTTCTATGTCTGTGATAAAATGTTGGTTCTTTTTCACCCACAAGGTTTGAAGCGGTATTTCAGTGAGTCAACTTTCTAATGCCGTGAACACTTTACCTTGTCTGGAATACTCCTTGATTGCCAATCTGACCACTAAAAAGGTCACAAGATAAATCAGAGTTTTGTAAAACAACTTATCTGTGTGAGCAATGGTGAAAGTAATCAGCATAGAAGGATCCTCTTCCCATTCCATTTCTCCAAATTGATAAAATGAGGAGCAAGATAGAATTGATTTGAGTTTACTAAGCAGTCGTGACTAAACCAATTTCCTTTTGCTCTCCTTACTTCCCACAGAAACAAGGACTTTCCATAGAAATGACTGTCAACATTATGCAATACCTTTGTCTGTCATAGGAATACTGGCATTTCTGCTACTAATTGTGACCTGGCTTTGGATTCGATACAGTCCTTCTAGGCTTGGTAACATCACGAAAATATATCTTATTTCATTGGGACATTTTGGCTTGCAAAATAGGAGTATTCATATGCTAAGGCTTAATATGACAGCTAAAGTGGCTAGAGTGTAAGTTAATCCTTCTTGGATCCAGTTTCATCTATGGGGATCAAAAAAGTCAAAATGGTATCCATCACCACATGCTCAAAGCCCTCCTCCTCTTTATGTGCTCTGCACAACCTCCATTGACCCTTTCTGGGTATTTCCCTGCTTTATCTTTCAATTGATTGAAATAATTATTAAGATTGGCCCTTCAGGGATCTTTAGAACAATGTTCAAATAAAGCAAATTCAGCAAGGTTATAAAATCACAATAGAATTAAAGTGAAAAGACCTGAGGAAAGACTGCCATTTTTTGTATGACATTCAGCTTATGCCCCTCAGAACTAACTTCCATTTGGGCAAAAAAAACACCGACCCTGTCTTCTAGTTTCTTAGGGTCGAAGGTTGGGCAATAGAGCTTCTGATGTAATGAAGAGTTGGTGGCCTTTTCATTGGCAAGAAGACATTGCTTTTCCATAATCTTTCATGGGCCAAAGTGGCCTTGGAAGCTTGGAAATTCTTTGACAAAACCTAGTAGGATAATTAAGACCAGTGATATGTGACCTTTGTAGGAGATTCAGAACAATATATCTTTTATAGTACTTTCTAAAATGGGGAGGGAAGGAGAGAGGGAGGGAGGGGGAGAGAGAGAGACAGAGAGACAGAGAGAGAACAGCAGCAAGGGAGGTAATCCCAATCCTTTCTTTCTCCCTGCCCCCCAAATTTTTAATTTTGTTCTACATATATACATCAATACATAAACAGTGTGGCATCTAAACATCATACATTTTGGTGCAAATAAAAATAATAACATTAATTATATCTCTAATGTTAATACACGTATTTGTATTAAATTATAATCTTTCATTGTTTAATTATTCAACATTCCAATACATTCTTCTGATGCCAATCACCATATTATTTAAACATACATGATAATTTCATTATTCAGTTTCTTCTTTTATTTTTAATTTTAAAAAAAACCCTCTCTTTTGGCAAGCAGTGTGGTTCCAGGTTTTTACATTTCAATACAAACATGACCATAGTTACAAATTCATCTTTCTTATTCAGTTTCATATCACATTATTACTTATTAATATTAAATTCATTAAACTTATTTTATCTAATTTCAATTCATATCTTAACTTATTTCATTTTTCTTAGGATATTTTCATATCTTTACAATATTTTCTAAAATTCTTATTTTATTTCTATATTCATTGGACATATTACTTTTATCTGTCACATTTGCAATTTTATCAATCCTTGTTCTATTAATTATAAAAATTACCCCCTTTAGTTAACAATTCGAGCTTACCGCCTTCATTCTACTTTAATAACAATATGTTCCTATCTATTAAATATCAGATATACATATATTTTAAGTCTGCTTCCGCATAGTATTTTTCTGAATCACCTTATAAACCATCTGTATATTGCAAAGATATTGAATTATAAAAACTGATATTAATCTTTCAATTATAATTCTCATAATTTTATACATCGCTAATTGTGAATTAATATTTTTATAATAAATTCCCATTTCCATATCTATTCATTAAATTCTATGTCTGGTATAACAATAATACTTAGAAAAGGGGAAAAATATCAGTTCCAATACTATCTATTTTCAAATATTTATTCTTATATATCACAACATATTACTTTGCAGAATCCCCTTCCCTGTCCTTTTTTACCCATTGTCTCTCATTCTCCCAACTATGTAATTTTTTTTCATTCTTCCTATTTTTCTTTATTTCTGGTCCTTTCTCTAAATTCTCCTTTTCCCATTATTATTTCCCTTCATTTCTCATTCCAATTGTTTATTTTATCCTCCTCCCTCTCTTGATCTTTTTTCTGTAGTTCCCTCTTCTGCTTTTTCCCTTTCCTTTGTTTAGCTTTCCGAACCATTCCCCCTTTCATTATCACATCAAACCTC